CCCGCTGTTTCGCATGCGCTTTAGAGCACTTTTTTCATTGAACTTGGACGTTGAGTTCGTGTATGGATGTTTTGGTTCGTCCGACTGCTATTCTTCTTTCGAGGGAACATGTTTTCATTTTTACTACATGGAACGTCTGTTGTGCATGTCGTCTGCGCTTCTCCGCGTTTGTTAAATGCACTGTGAAAATATTCGTTGTTGCACTAACAACTCACATGCATCGACAAACTGTGTAACCGGGTGAACGCGCTGAACGCGCGTTCACGTTCAAACGCGCACATTCATACCCCCAGGGGCCGCGTTCATTCGCGTTCAAACGCGCTGCGCGCCACGTGGCGCGAAAAAACTTAACGCGCCCCCGGGGGGCGCACGCGCACGTTACAGACTACGAGGTGGTGGGCCTCGTTCTACGAACCCCAAAACTGCAAAAAAAAAAAAAAAAACCAGAGGCCTACACCCCCTACCGCATCACACCCGCCATATGTGAAAAATCCTTTTTTTTTTTTTTTTTGGAGTGGGTGGGGGAATCCCCCAAACGCGGCTTAGACAGCCCATGCAGGCTATCTGAAGGGTCCGCGCAGCCATGTAGCGCAGACCCCCCCACCAAAATCAAGCAGGCGGTGAATATGAAGTGGGGAAGAGGATGGCCGAATATATACTCAAGATTCGACTTGAGGTCTGTGTTTTAGCAGTTATGGGTTGCTCACCTAGCTAGGGCCTGTTAGTCTCTGCACGTGACTCTTAGGGCTTGGCTGCACTACTCACCAAATGTGCAAACTAGAATGAATCTTCTGCATAACATGGAATAATATGCCACCATATGTGTTTGTCTTTTGTGCATGCGGTGAGTAAAGGCCCTTAGGGCCACTGCAGTCTGCACGTATTCCTAAGAAAAGAAAAACGAGAAATTTCTCGTTTTAATTTTTTCTTATTTTTCTTTTTTCTCATTTTTTATTTTTCTTGTTTTTCTTTTTTTCTCGTTTTTCTTTTCTTAGGAATACGTGCAGTGGCCCTAAGGGCCTCTACTCACCACATGCACAAAAGACAAAACATCTAGCGACGTATTATTCCATGTTCTGCAGAAGATTCATTCTAGTTTTGCACATTTGATGAGTAGTGCAGCCACGCCCTAACAGTCACGTGCAGAGACCAACAGGCCCTAGCTACGTGAGCAACCCATAACTGCTGAAACATAGACCTCAAGTCCAATCTTGAGTATATATTCGGCCAGCTAGTTCCCTATTTCATATTCAGTGCTTGCTTGATTTTAGAGGGGGGGTCTGCGCTACATGGTTGCGCGGACCCTTTAGATAGCCTGCATGGGCTGTCTGAGCTGCGTTAGGGGGATTCCCCCACCCCCTCGAAAAAAAAGAGAGGACCTTTCACACACACGCACACACACTGTTTTTTTTTTTTTTTTTTTTTTTCCCTTTTCCCCTGCGGCTTTGGCCCACAGCCCCCCCAAGCACCGCCGCCGCTCCCCACACTGCCCACAGCCCCCCCAAGCACCGCCACCGCTCCCCACACTGCCCAAAGCACCCCCCCACCCCACCCACCTCCCTGCGCGAACGCATCAAATGCGTTCACGCGCGCTCACTGCGTTCATACCTTGAACGCGAAACCCGCGTTCAATGAATGCGTGGTAACACAGTCGACAAAGAAAAAAAAGAAGAACTCACGACAGATGACATCAGGATTATTTTTCGCTTCCTTTTAATAGTTTGAAGAACGCTGCGTATTTTTCTGACCTTCCTTTTAATAGTTTGATACTTTTTTTTTTTTTTTTTTTTTTGCTTCCTTCGGCTGCGCGCGATCATCTGGATTTCGCGATGGCATCAGGAACGGAAACACGGGCACCAAGCACAAAAAGATGACAGTTAAAGTGCATGTATAGGTCCCTGCCTCTTTTTCTTATTATGTTTTGTTTTCTCAGATGCCGACGACGATAACCATGCCGTGACAACCAAGATCGAATGAAGGGCCACAAACATAAGAAGATGTGGACGGGAAGGCGATGGCCATTAACACGCACGTCACATTATAAGACCATGCAGAAGACAAGAAAAGCATGACTGCGTACACAATCTTAAGCATGCAAACATACACCATCGAAACACAAACACACATTTGAGAACATTCATTGAACAACAAAACAATTTCCCCTCCCTGGCGATTTTCTGTTGCTCCTGACTATCGACCCTTCAAGCATCCCGCACAACACACAGACTGCTCCTGCCATCCACGTACATTTCGGCGGTGTCATCCACCGAGCCAAGAAACCCTATTGTGGACCAAAAATACAAAGTGCGCTCCAATCACACCTAAACATTACAGAATAAAAAAAAAAGGAAAACATTGTTCACAACAAATGCACCACGATGACATCTGCTCACGCCAGCACGACGTTTGCTGACGTGGACACGCGGTCGCAGCTGCGCGGGACCGCCCACCTCACGCTCCCTCCGCCGAACCACCAACACCCACCGACAACTATCCCGCCCATGCTGCCCCGTCTGCAGTTAAAGGCGCTGCGTTCATCGTTTCATGATCCCACGCGCCAATCAGTCGATGATCCACACCCCACCGCTGCGTTATGGACGAACCGACGTGTCAACTGCCCTTATCTTCGTCTTCCTCCGCCACGGGCCCACTGCTGATCCAGCTGTGTTTCGTGGCTTCCGATGCATTCTTCAGGGCCGCGTTGTGGCCGAACACCAACCCGCAATCACACCATTCCGGAATACAGTGCGGGTAATCTCCCAGCGTAAGGTGAGCCTTCCCTATACGATCTAACACGAGGTTGGAGCTGTCGACGATGTGTCGCCGCCAGTTGAAGATGTACGAACCCGCCGCTATCATTGTGGGTTTGGCGACCATGAACGTGTACAAGCACGCCTCGTAGTGCGAACGGTCGTCGTAACCACGCATGCGCATGATCCACATGCACGCGCTCAACAACGCTCGAAGACAATCCGCAAGCCGAGGCAACCTCTCCTGTTTCACGCGGCCGTCGTCCGCCCATTGTCCACACCACAGTGCATCTGTCCAGCAATCTGCGACGCGAAGAACTGTCGCCTCCTGCCGCCCCGACATGTCATCGTCTTCAGGCCAATCCACAATCTTCACCCCCGCGAACCACAGAGGCACGTCCATCTTCATCGCCAGCGTGTGGTAGACGAGTGCAGTGGAAACCACATTCGACCGTTCGTGTCCCTGCCAAATTGCTCGTGCGACGTCTGTAGCAATGTCGACGCTGATGTATGACTCCGCACGAGCAAAGCCAGCCGACCTCGACGATGATTTGAAGATCCAGCCGTGGATGGAGCACAACACCAGTTTTTTCATGCTGCGCGCTCTGCGCAGAGCTGCTTCACGCTGCGCAGGGTTGTCGATCTTGAAGCGCGGAATCTCGTTTGGCGACATTATGAGCATCGCAGGCGCCACAGCTCCTGCGTCTCCGTTGGCGATGGCCACGAACTAGTCCGCGCACTCGCCGACCACCTCCCTCAAGGGTTTCCCCGGGCCCTGACCCCAGAAAGAGTCGCAATCAACCCACAACTTGGACCTCTCCTCCACACCGTCCTCCTTTGCCGCTCCCTTCAACCTCGTCACAAGTGGACGGTCGTCGTCATCATCGCCATCCCGCTTTCCATCTCTTCTTCATTCGTCGCGGCGGACGTCGTCGACCCTCTCCTTGGCCGCACCTTCGGCAAGTCTGCTTCTAGTGCTATGATCCGCCACCGCCGTCCGGTTCCCGCTCGACGTCGCATCGCCCTTTTGCGCGGACTGTGTTTTCCCTCCCCCTGAAGCCCCCGCCTGTTGCAGGGGGAGTGGCTAACGTGGCAGACCCTCGCCCACCACTGCCGGAAGTTGCCTCCCCACGTGCACCTCCGTCATGACAACCCCTGCCGCCTTCGGGGTCCTTTGCAAGGCCCCGGCAGCACCGACAGCGAGGCTCTGTTTCATAGCGGACAACTGATCCCTCGACACCCCATCCCGCCCGAAACCCAATCGCATCACCCCGACCGTCCCTTGCGCATCCACCTTCACCACTTCGTCTGGCTGGAAGTCTTCAGTGTGTTCGGAGCTGGCCTCATCCATGCGCTGCCTTTTCGACTTTGGCACGTGGCCTCTGCCTTTCTGGGTTTCCCCACCGTCGCCTGCTCCGCTGTCTTTCCTGCCCTTCCGTGAAGCGTTCCTCGGGGGCATCTCGTCCGCAACTCGGCAATGACGACCACGTGGACGAAGGAGATCGTTGACGAAGGAGCACGTAGACGGTGGACGCGTGGAGGGTGGAGGTGGACGACGGCGACGTGGACGAAGGAGGACGTGGATGATGAGCCCGAAGGGGCAGTGGGCAGGAGCCGCGACGATGATGGCGACCAAAAACAAGCACGTGCTTGCCGCGCTTGAAGAGGAACTGCCCGCGGAGCCCAAAGCTCGAGCGTGGAGCGGCGAAGCGGAAGTGCAGGCGTGTGGCGACGAATCAGTGTACAAACGCTACCGTTGGAGCCGTGGGAAATGAAGTACTGCTGTACAGACTGCCGCCCGGACTCTCCTTTTCTAGATACTGCACTCTCGACACGCCTCGCCGTCCACAACAGCCCGCCCCTTCGTCGATCGTACACGGACCATTTTTTCCCCAAGGCTGTTGCTGATCCCTTGCATGGTCAACAACGAGTGGGGGCGCGCACGAGGACCCTGGTGGAGATCGGAAGAGCCCGGCACGCATCCTTCGTCCGCCACCCCCAAAAACTCGAGGCACCCCTGTCCTCCATTTTCCCCTCCCGCCTGAAAAACCCACCCTGCCACCTATTCCTTCTCCGACACCCCCCCTAGAAAAGACCCTGGTAGATCGCCATTCACGCGTGGCAGCAACGCCTCACAACAATAGCCCTTAAACAATATTCAAATCCGGACGTCGTAATGTGAAACCGAAAGACGCACCGACGGGCATGACAACAATCAATACCCTTCACACTCATCAAACAAATCCACGCTTAAAAAAAATGCGCTTGAAAAAAGGACCCGCTATTTCTATACAACCTGCTCACCACCACACTGCAGCACGCAGGACGGCGGCAACGCCGATGATCCGGAATTGCACACGTGGCAAACGCGTGGACGTCGGACATGCGTGGCCCAGCGACGTCAGGATCGTTCGCGGATCGCTTTAGCAATCTCCAGAAGGGCATTGCACATCATGAAGTTCGCGTGGTCGGCCTTCACGTAGTGGTCCTTCTGCACTTCTAGCTCTCGCTCAAGAATGTCGCATTGCCTTGTCAGAATTGAGCATTGCCTCTTGCTCGCGCTGGCCACCGTCGTCGCCATCAGATTTCCGTGCTCCTTCATGACGTCCGCAATGGTGTCGAAAGTCTGTTGTCTTATATTCTTCCGTTTGCCGCACCCGCCAGCACCACCGCCGTTGAACGTTGAATCCCTCGTCGATCCCTGATTGTCGTCCTGTCCATCCCCGCATCCGTCACTACCGCCGGATTCGTTCCGACCCCCCCGTGGGCCGGGCAATTGAACACCTCCAGCCGCGCCCGTGTCCGCGAGATTCGTGGGGTGTATAGTGTGATCGCCCCTGGACATGGCGTTCATCTCCGAATACACACGCTCGTCCATCCGAAAATCGAACCCCCACTCCTTCCTCTCCCGCGGCGATAGTGTGAAGAAATCAGGCTTCCCTGATTCTCCCATGAACTTGTGCACAATTTTGAACTGCATGTTTAGGTTGTCCCATTTTTTCGCGCAGTCCTCGGCCTTTCTACTCGTCACCCCCATCTGCACGAGCCTCTTCTCGACGTCGGTCCACTTCCATGTCTTCGTCTTCATCCTTCCGATGTTGTGGCCGAGGCCTGCCAGATGCCAATCCTGGTCTCTTTTAGCTCAGATCTGAGCAATTATGTGTTCCAAGGTCCAAAAATCCTTGCTTTTTGCTCCCTCGCCTGCCGACTCGGACGCATCTCCCACACTCTTCTTGCCTCTCTGCCCCGCACGCGGCTCGTTTAACTTGTGTGTGGCCCTTGGCCCTCCCCGTTTCTTCCCTACCGGACAAATCTCCATCTCCCCGTCGTCGTCCTCGTCGTTGTCAATGCTCCCGTCACCTGCGGAGCAATCTTCACCCACTGCACCATCGCAATCGCCGAGTGTATCGTCCGCCCCTACATTAATCTTCACCACCCCTCTCCTTATGCCGGACGTGCTCGATTGACGTGATCGTCACCGATAATCATCCCAAAGCTTTCGCCCCAAGACCTTCGCAGCAGAGCCCTCATCGTCATCCCATCGTCGGTCGATTGTGTCGGCTGGCGTCGTCGATCCACCTGTCCTCGTCGTCGACGCGCCCACACCTGCTGTGCCCACTGCCCCCCGCCCTTGCGAAAGGAGTCCACGTTCGTCGCCCGACTGACCAGAACACCGGGCGCGGGTGTCCGGAAGGCCCGACGACCCCACTGAAGTCGTTGTGTGGTTTGTGCCAGAAGTCGGCTTCACGAGAACGGTGTGCGTGACGTCCTGGCCACTCCCAGACCTCAAACCGAAGCTGAGATCTATGAGCCTTGCGTCATAACCAACCGGGGTCCGCCCCTCCAGTGGATCAGTGTACGTCAGCGTAGAGGCCTTTCTGTACAGCTGGCTCCCCATCCAATCCTGCATCGAACCGCTGCCCAGAGGAACCGTTGATGATCGGGGGTCGTCGCCGTCTTCGTCACTTGAAGGCAACGGAATCTCGTGGGACGACAGGTGGCTGTACAGCGTTGGGTCGTACGGCCGCCTGCCGCCTTCCGCAGTGCTGCAACGCTGACGTGACGACCCCCCAGCCCCTACGGACAGCGTGGTCTTCGTTTGTAGCTTCTCCATCTTCCTGGCCGGCTTCGGCATTCACCGCGTCTGTTTCCTCCCAGGGACGCGACCGAGGACGCAGATATGAAAGACCACAACGGCAAGCAGCAGCACAGCGACAAGCAGCAGCAAAGGCAGCCTGCGGCACAGGTCAGCCATGAAGGACAGAAAACGCACTTGCGGTGTCGCGATCGTTGCGACCGGAGACACATGTTGCTCGAGGGGAGGCGCAAACGTACGGAATTGCTGCAAGCACCGGCTGTGGGTGGACGCTTAAAAAATCTGTATTTTCGACCGTCGGGTAGCCCGCGGTAACACCACGATCCCTCCAGGAGCCGCCCGAAAACATTCGATGCTCGCCATGGCACCGCCGTGGGGCCGCCCGACGAACCGACAGGGCCGTACCGCCAATCCCCGCCAACAGTAAAAAGACAAGGCCGTTGGTGGACGTTTCGGACATCGGCGGCTCGCGATGTCCGTCTTCTGGCCGGTGGACCGCCACTGGACCACCTTCGACCACCATTTTCCCTTCTGGACTCGCTGCCGACACCCCGATAATCGCGGATCCTCGGACTCCAAGGGACCTCGCGAGGTCCCTCGGAGCCGAGGACAATTTGGCTGGGAAATCCTCGGAGCCTGAGGATTTGTCCTTGGAGTGTTTTCACTTTTTTTTTCCGAAAATTGGCTCCGAGGACAGGTGGAACGACGACGGAATCCTCGGAATCGCATCCCCGAGGAGTGTCTAACGACACCCTGAGTGGCAGCGGGCTGACAGGTTCATTACGAATTTCTGGGCTGAGAAAACAGGAGAAAGAGCAAGAAAAAAAAAAAAACAGAGACCTCCCACTCGAAATCAGGGCAGAGTGCTTCCCAGCCATCAAATCACRAATAATCTGATGGTGGTGGTTGCAACAACAGTGAACAAAGTAACCGCCACATTGACGTCTGTCAGCATTGATCCTGACACCCTCCATATAGGGCCTCGCTGCACTACGCTAGACTCATGAAATATTTCAAGAGTTCATCTAGCGCTGTCAGACTCCTGGATTGGCATCAAGTGCTGTCGTCGCTGCACTTACTCAGGACTCTCGACTCTCGTGAGCATTCTTGACTGTCGGAGAGACACTACATGACAGGGCACCGACAATTTGTCCACCGAGACTGGAGGCCAACTCTTGAATTTGCAAACGGCACGAGGGGACCCGTCAGCCTCGTTTGAAAAAAAATCTCCTGCAGCCTCTTGACACCTCTTGAAGCGCCGAACCAAAGCAGTTTTCCACCGTTAGTGCAGCGATGACTCACTCTCGACATTTTCGAGAGTGAATCTGACAGCTCTTGAATAGAAATCCAGGACGCGGCATCAAGAGTTAGTTCAGCGGTGATGAACTCTTGATTTTTCAAGTTTCAAGAGTAGTGCAGCGAGGCCCGTGCTCCGTGATTGAAGGAGGGCTCCACCCAATTGGATAATTGCACAACAACAAGTAAAATACTTAAAATCTTCTATCCATTGGGCCTAAGGCCAACCCCACCCTCCTCTGGGGTTAGCCACACCCCCAACCCATTGAAAAGATTCTGGCGGGAAACTTTCTTTTCATGGGTATGCCCAGTGTT